AAAGCTGTCTTCAATCCAAAAGAAAACCCTCACTGTAATAGGCAGATCAATGGCTTCCAAAGATGTTCATCCATGAACACGTTAGGTTATGTAGCAAAAAGGCCACTGAAGATGTAATTAAGATGCAGGACCTTGAGGTGGGGTGATTCTCCTGGGTATCCATGTGGGCAATCCAACCACATGAGCCTGTAAAGCAGAAAGCTTTCTCAGGGAGGAGGCAGATATGCAGCCAAATAAGTCACCCTTGCAAACGAGAAGGACTGTTACACTACTGCGGGCTGAGGGAGGGGACCACATGGAGGACCACAGAGTGGCCACGGGGGCGAGGGCGGCAGAGGCAGGAATGCGGCTCTGGCAGCAGCCTGCAAGGGAGGGGGAACCTCAGGCCCACCTCCTCGAGGAACTAAACCCAGCCAACAACGCAGGTAAGCATAGCAGCAGATTCTGCCCCAGAGCCTCCAACAGGAGCCACAGCCCTGCTGACATCTCGAATTTAGCCTGGGGAGGCCCAAGTCACATTTCTGACCTGTATGAAAAAAGTAAGTGCTGTTTTGATCCATTCAATTTCTGATAATTTGTTAGGACTACAATAAAATTTCCTAATCCAGACGCACTGTAAGGTTTAAAATTCATTATTCTGAATTCTGTCTTCATCAAGTGACTGACTCCCTTGTTAGGAGCGTGGCCACTCTCTCGCCACTCCTGCCCCAGGAAGGAGGCGCGGTCTGCCGGCCCAGGTCCCGCCCCCCGCCCTGCCTGCTGCCGGGCGACACCTCCCCCTCACGGTCAGCGCAGTGCCCCTTCTCCACCAGGGCCACACCTGGTCACAGACGCTGCTCAGAGTCTGCAGTTTTTCTTCACAGGTTTAGTCAAGAAAAAAGCCTAAATATCCAGTAAAATGGGAATGGTGACATAAAGATAGATATATATATCCTCAACTAAATATTACAAATCACTTAAAATTAGAGCCATGAAAAGTAATCTACTCCTTTATCATATAGGTATGATATACTAAGTGAAAAAGAATGTTTCTAAAGTTTAACCGTTTAAATTATTATTACATAAAAATATGCACAGAGATCACAACAATTACAACAAAAACCCAGCAGCAGTTATATTAGTGAGGCAGAATTTGTTTCTATTTTTCCAAATTTTATTGGGTTGGCCAAAAATTTCCTTCAGTTTTTTTAAGTAAAAATAAAGCACATTTTTCATTTTCACCAAGAACTTGATTGAAAAACATATTCACCATTTTGTTCTACTACCTTCTGCCACAGGCACTTACACATTACATTCATAAACCTCTTGAATGAAATTAAACACTCTTCAGTTCAGTTCAGTCGTTCAGTCATGTCTGACTCTTTGTGACCCCATGAATCGCACACTTAAATGAAATCAAAATGTAAATTTCTTGAGAACATAAATTGTGTCTTACTTTTTCATTCCAAGCACAATACAGGCACTCAGTTCCTGATGGATGCCCACTAATGAAGAGCTTGCATTTCCATAAGAGATTGAAGCAAAATGCTTTCCTGTGGTTAATTTAACTTTTAACTATAGAAGTAAGTTCAGCTTGGAAAATCTAGGCACAGTGCCTCTACATTCTCAGAATTATGTATATTGTTAAGCAATATCCTAAAATACTAGGTTGGCAAAATGTTATAATAATTCTCTTTCAACGTCTAAATCCTGTAAAATGACTTGAGAATTTCCCTATAGGTACTTTCATTTTTACAGGTATTGGTGTCATCCACCATATTAGTTTTATTGACAAATTTAATTAAAATGCTACTCATCATTCCTCTTTGATCATTAAAGGCACTAAACAAAATTAGACCTAATAATGATTTCAATTTCAACCTCCTAATGTTCTTCCCCTCTAGGTTATATTTAAACTATACAGTTCATACAAATGAATGATTATTTTTTCTAACAAGATTATCATTATGATCTTTCAAACTAAACAGTACTCTTTCCTATTCTGATCTAAGCAAAAAGAAGGTAAGAGAAAAACATTATATTTAAACAGCCAAAAGAGACAATTCAGTATGCTGGAAAGACTTTCACAAGGTTACTTTGTATAACAGAAAGTGTCAAACTATGCACATCAGCTACTCCCTACATACAGATGATTCTGACATGGTAATGAAACAAGAAACCATTAGATTTTAAAATAATAAAAACAGCAACATCGGTTAGTGCATATCACATGTAGCATCCAGCCCTGGTTGCTCAGCAACCAGCCAAGAGTGAATTCCACAGAGAATGAAAGCCCTAAATGAATGTACAGTTTGTGCATGTTTCAAGGATTCAAAATGTCAGTAGTCAATCTAAATTCGTGTTGACAACGACCACTGGGGGCAGAGGAAGAAGAATCCATCATTATTGCACAGGAATGAGCACTGACTAGAAGTAAGATCCAACCCTTTAGGTCTATGTCTTCTGAACTAGTGGTTTCACAGGAGAAAGAACTGTAATAATATGATTGATAAATTATAAAAACTTCATGCAGGAAAACAGCAACAAAATAGGACTTGCTTGGTGGCACAGTGGGTAAGAATCCACCTACCAATGCAGGGGACACGGGTTCACTCACTGGTCCGGGAACATCCTACATGCCCCTGCAGTACAACTACTGAGCCCGCACTCGAGAGCCTGAGAGCTGCACCTCCCGAAGCCCACGCACCCCAGAGCCTGTGCACGGCAAGAGGAGAGGCCACGGCCACGAGAAGCCCTCACACCTCAACAAAGAGCAGGCCCTACTCACCTCAACTACGACAAAGCCCACACGAAGCAACAGAGAACTAGCGCAGTTATAAATAAATGAGAAAATTATTTTTGAAACGATCACTGGTATAATATATAATCGTTCATTCAACAAAACACATAAGGAAGACCTATTATGAAAGGCACTTTGCAGCTCTCATACTTTACTGGAGAAACCAGATGAAGCAGCAAGCGATGACGACAGCCCAAGTCCTGTGACACAGGAACGCACGTAAAAACACGAATGGACGCTGGGCAGGAGCAGGGTGAGAAGCAGGTGGTCTGGAATAGCTCACCAGAGGAGGCACACGAGGAGGACACGTGGCCCTTAGTCGGGTCACAGAAGGAGAGGAAGGGGGAAGAGCAGTCGCTGCGGGGGGGAGCGCAGGCCTGGCACTCGGGAGGAGCCCCAGGGGCCTCGCTGGCAGAAGGGGTCAGAGCGTGGGCACCGAGACAAAGTCCAGAGTCAGGCCAGCTCCTTCCGGAAGGAGCTCGCAGGCCAGGCTGAGGTGTTCTCAGGTCAGCCCGTGGGAAACTGGGGAGACATGATGTGAAATGGTATAGAGAGGGCAGAGCCAGCGCCAGAGGGAGACACAGGGGTTGGGCTGGGAGTGGGAAAAGGACACCTCCAGGACACAGAGCTTTCAGGAAGCTTGACAACTGTACAGTATTCAGGCTGCTCCAGTCCCTCAAGAAATGTTAGCCTGGACCCCACCCTCCCCACTGCAGAGAAGGCAGGAGAGGAGGAAAAGAGGGACCGCGGAGTCAGGGGGAAGGATGAGCAATACTGAAAGATACTGGAAATAAACTCCAGGCCAATTTCTGGCCAAGCAGTGGCACTCTAGGTTTCAGAAGAATAAAAAGAAACCATAAAGGAAAACACTAAAGGTGCTTAACTACATAAAACTTGAAAATTTAGGCAAGCTAGATAATGCAACATAATAAAAAAAAAACTTTCAGAAAAAAATGTTTGTAACAAAAACAATGAAGAGTTACTATCCTTTATACCTACAGTGTGTGCTCATTTGCTCAGTCCTATCTGCCTCTTTGTGACCCTATGTACGGTAGTCCACCAGGCTTCTCTGTTCATGGGGATTCTCCAGGCAAGGTTGCCATTTCCTCCTCCAGGGGATCCTCCCAACCCAGGGATCAAACCCATCCATGTCTCTTGTGTTTCCTGCATTACAGAGGGATTCTTTACCTGCTGAGCCACCAGGGAAGCTGGTATTTATAGCTCAAGTACATAAGATCATATAAAACCAAGAAATGCTATAAATAAATGGGCAAAGATACAGAGAATTAAAACTACCTTAAAATAAAATGGATAATTAAAATGTTTTAAAATCACCCTTAATACAGTCAATGCAAGGTACATAATACCAATAGTATTTCTATGGAAAGCCTATTAAATTAGCAACTGTTCTCACTGTCTCATCTGTTCAGGGTACAGCAACATGGAGGATCTTGTACATGAGAGCATAAGTAGAATAAGGTTTTTGAAAAAGAAATAAATACACTTAAATCTTTAAAATGATTCATATGCTTTGAAAAATTCCACTTTTGAAAACCTATGCTGAGGATATGATCAAAAATACAGATAAAGGTTTACATACAGCATTTTTTGTACTAGTGAAAAGAATGAAAAGTGGTCTAAATACTCTGCAATGAACGATAAATACATTACAGGATAACCACACAAGAAAATAAAATTAAGCTTTTGGAGACATTTTAATAACAGAAAAAAATGAAAAAATAGCTAATTATATAAAAGTATAGTGATTACATGCTTTTCTTCCTCCTTTTCTGTATTTTCTAAGTTTGCTTTTTAAATAATGAGGATAATTTTTTTTTTAATTCAGAAAACAAATAAAACTTATCTCAACTACTCCCAATAAAATATATGCAGGTTCCTCAAGTCTGCCTTAGTCTCACAGTTAAGAAATTGGCTCATTCCCTTTGAAATCTTTCTCAAGTCAGTCACCAGTACTCATTTTAACTTAACAACCAGTTCTACACACTGTTATTCAATAAAAGAACTTTCTATAGTACCCTGAAGTCAAGAGTAACAAGCACATGGCACTAAGAACTTAAATCACAGAATTAAAGGGGGAAAGAAAGAAAGAAACAAAAGGAAAACAGAAAACCTATGTAAAGTTTCTAGCCCTGAAAGGCACTTCACCCACTGTGCTGGGGCTGCACTTACAAGCACGACAGGGTGGCCTTGGTGTTGTTACCTGAGGTGGTTGAGCAGAGGCTGGAGTCTCTCGTCGGACTGCACGGCAGGCAAGGACCTGGCTGTTAACTGAAAGGAGAGAAGTGGGTGAATAACCACACCAAAGGCCTCAGACTGAACTTATCTGAATAATAAATGCAAAATGGGGACAAGAGGATGGAAGAGGAGGATGTTCCTAAAATTTAAGGACACTGTTCTATTTTTTAAATCAAAGAATTCTAAAGAAAGCTGATCCATTCTTGCACTAAAGCTAACCATGTGACCAGTTTTACAGAGTCAATCTTACATATGTGCCTGAGTCTGGAAGTAAACAAAAAGGGGGCAAAACAGAGAGTAAGAGGGGAGTATCCACCTGAGTTCATGAAAAAGCCTCTGGTCACAAAAATATTACCTTTCAAAGTAAAAATGGAAAAACTTCTAAATTTATAGCAACCAATCACATAGCACTAAATCCTAGGACGATAAAGAAATCAGGGAGAGAGACTTTCACTTATTGCTCAGTCACTGTGAAACTGGTTACATGCAGAAGTGTATGCACACACATACATACATACACACACACACAAACATTCCTTTCTTCATTTTGACAACCATGTTACTGTAACAAACCAAGAATATCTTATAAACATACTAAGGCAATTCACACATCTCACACTTTAGCAAAGTAATGCTCAAAATTCTCCAAGCCAGGCTTCAACAACACATGAACCATGAACTTCCAGATGTTCAAGCTGGATTTTAAAAAAGCAGAGGAACCAGAGATCAAATTGCAAACATCCGCTGGATCATCGAAAAAGCAAGAGAAATCCAGAAAAACATCTATATCTGCTTTATAGACTATGTCAAAGCCTTTGACTGCATGGATCACAGCAAACTGTGGGAAATACTTCAAGAGATGGGAATACCAGACCACCTGATCTGCCTTCTGAGAAATCTGTATGCAGGTCAGGAAGCAACAGTTAGAACTGGACATGGAACAACAGACTGGTTCCAAATTGGGAAAGGAGTACATCAAGTCTGTATATTGTCATCCTGCTTATTTAACTTATATGCAGAGTACACCATGAGAAATGCTGGGCTGGATGAAGCACAAGTTGGAATCAAGATTGCCGGGAGAAATATCAATAACCTCAGATATGCAGGTGACACCATCCTGAGGGCAGAAAGTGAAGAAGAACTAAAGAGCTTCTTGATGAAGGTGAAAGAGGAGAGTGGAAAAGCTGGCTTAAAACTCAACATTCAGAAAAAGATCATGACATCCAGTCCCATCACTTCATGGCAAATAGATGAGGAAATAATGGAAACAGTGACAGACTTTATTTGGGGGGGCTCCAGAATCACTGTAGATGGTGACTGCAGCCATGAAATTAAAAGATGCTTGCTCCTTGGAAGAATAGTTATGACCAACCTAAACAGCTTATTAAAAAGCAGAGACAATACTTTGCCAACAAATGTCCATCTAGTCAAAATATGGTTTTTCCAGTAATCATGTATGGATGTGAGACTTGGACTATAAAGAGAGCTGAGTGTCAAAGAATTGATGCTTTTGAACTGTGCTGTTGGAGAAGACTCTTGAGAGTCCCCTGGACTGCAAGGAGATCCAACCAGTCCATCCTAAAGGAGATCAGTCCTGGGTGTTCATTGGAAGGACTGATGTGAAGCTGAAACTCCAATACTTTGGCCACCTGATGTGAAGAACTGACTCTTTGTTAAAGACCCTCATGCTGGGAAAGATAGAAGGCAGGAGAAGAAGGGGATAACAGAGGAGGAGATGGCTGGATGGCATCACCGATTTGATGGACATGAGTTTGATTAAACTCCAGGAGTTGGTGATGGACAGGGAGGCCTGGCGTGTTGCAGTCCAAGGGGTCAAAAAGAGTCGGACACAACTGAGTGACTGAACTGAAATGATCTGAAGGCAATTCAAAGTATTCAACACTGAAATATGACCCCCAAGTGATCTATAAACAAAACGTAAGAGCCAAAGACTTATTCCTAAATATTGTGTGTCAGGTTGAACGTGTATCATGGAAATGTGAGCCTCTGATACATTTTAGTGCAATAATATTAACATTATATGTCCCTGTACCTGTATTTCTCTCTTTTCTTGAGAAAGTCCTCTTATTCTATAAGAATCTGAACTAAAGAAATTTAAAACATTCATTGAAAGTAATAAGATACTTAAGTCACTTAAATAAAACACCACAAGTAAAGGATTTCTTTTGGATTCAACTGTATCAAATATATAGCTCTTGTATTCTACTAATAAATCATTTGATAGTTCACAAAAGAAAACCTTAAGACAAAAAAAGAAACTGAAGGATATCCTCTGGTTTTATACAAGGTATAAGTTCAATTCAGTCGCTCTGTCCTGTCTGACTCTTTGCAAGCCCATGGACTGCAGCATGCCAGGCTTCTGTGTCCATCACCAACTCCCAGAGTTTACTCAAATTCATGTCCGTTGATTCGGTGATGCCATCCAACCATCTCATCCTCTGTCCTCCCCTTCTCCTCCCGCCTTCAATCATTCCCAGCATTAGGGTCTTTTCAAATGAGTCAGCTCTTTGCATCAGGTGGCCATAGTACTGGAGTTTCAGCTTCAGCATATATATAGGATAACCTGTCTCTTTAATCATTTTGTTAATTAAAAGTAATTCATGAATTAATTTATCAAACCTAATTTTCAACACTTTATAAATAAAACTATTGCTTTAAAAACATCTAATAAATACTATATTGTGAAAAAATGTTGACCAAAATGCAAAATATGAAGTCATTTTTTATTTATTGTATCTAATAATAATGAAAAAAATCCTAATTTTGTGAGTCAAAACATATGAACAGTTAATAAAGTGAGACAGTCTGCTGCAATTTCAGTGCAACCAAAAGACTCTCAGTATCCCCAAGAAATGTTAAGTCTACTAGTTCATGACAATAAAATTTTATTAAGGTTTTATAAACAAAACACTTTACTACACCCTATATCTGCTAATGTCAAATCTCTTTTCAAAATGTCATTTTCATTGTTCAAGAGGTTTCATGGTTCAGAACTAAAGCTATGCTCTAAAATGGTTAAAATAATTTATTTAGATATTTCAAAATCAATTTTCTGAAAACAGATGAAGCAGACAGTCTAGGCTTTTTCAGTTGCTCCTGTCAATCCATGTAGCATGATTCCTAATCAAGCCATGTTTCCTAAATGAAAGCAAGCAGACAGAAACACCAGCAAAATATTTATAATTATCTCTTCAATCCCTATAGGAAATATTTCTAAATCAGACTCCCATCTCCACCTGAGCCTCAGTTTCCTTTGTCCTGGACTATGGAGACAGCATCTCCACTCACCATGTTTCTGCCTCAATTCTTTCCTTCTACACCAAGGCTAGAATGAAATTTTCAAAATGAAAGTTACCCACTCCCTGAGTTAAAATCACTTAAAATTCCCTCAAGCTAACATCATCACACCTACTCTCTCATCAGATAGCTTCCTAGAAACGGGCGCTTGTGCTGAACTGCCAAGACAAAGCGGACGACTGCTCAGCGTCTCCAGCAGACACGCAGGCAGAGTCGGGCCCCAGCTCCAGTTTCTGAAACGCAGCCTCAACGATCCGGTCCTCTGCCCACCTCTTCCCAACCCCCAAAACCTATCTCCAAGTTTGAATTACTTACCACAGTAATTCCTAAAACAAGGATCAATGTTCTGGGTAAAATCATCTCAAGGAAGATTTTTGAGTTTTCCAAAGGTTCTGCTTTCAACTTGTAAAACAATTAGCATTTTCAAAAAGAGCACACATCTCAGATCAGGGTTTTGGCAATGAAACTGAAACCCCAGTGAATGGGAATAATGTCAGAGGTGAGAATAAAATTCCTGCCTTCAAGAATAAACCTAGTCTTGTTTTCAAAATGATAAAATGAGCTACCAAAGATTATTCATTTATTTTAGTATTAAAAATACATCTTACAAGATTGGTTCAAGCAGCATAGAAGGACGTGAGCTCATCTTCTCCTGCAAGAACACGAAAATCTCAACTAGCTGTTCAACAACCATCAACAGGAGGACACTGGAACCCACCAAAAAAAAGATACGCCACTTCCAAGGACAAAGGAGAAGCCACAACAAGACAGTAGGAGGGGTGCAATCACAATAAAATCAAATCTCATACCTGCCAGGTGGGCAACCCACAAACTGGAGATCTATAATACCAAAAACACTCTTGCACTGCTGTGAAGGCTTTGGGCCCCACTGCGATTTGATCACAGGACTCCCACAGGACTGGGGGAAACAGAGACTGCACTCTAGGAGGGCACAAATAAACCCTGTATGCACCAGGACCTAGGGGAAAGGAGCAGTGACCCTATAGGAGACTGAGCCAGACCTTCCTGTCAGTGTCTGAGGGTCTCCTGCGGAGGATGGGTCCTCAGTGGCCTGCCACAGGGATGGGGCACCAGCGGCAGCAGTCCTGGGACCATACGTTGGGCTAAGTCCTCTTGGAGGCGGCCATTAGCCCCACCACAGCGCTTCCTGGCTGGCACTGGTGGTAAAAACCCACCTGCCAATGCAGGAGAGGTAAGAGACATAGGTTCAATCCCTGGGTTGGGAAGATTCCCTGGAAGAGGGCAGGCAATCCACTCCAGTATTCTTGCCTGGAGAATCACATGGACAGAGAAGTCTGACGGGCTGCAGTCCATGGAGTCACAGAGTCAGATGTGACTGAAGCAACTTAAAGTGAAATAAAGTCACTCAGTTGTGTTTGACTCTTTGTGACCTCATAGACTGTAGCCTACCACAGACTGTAGCTGACCACTGACTGTAGCCTACAGGCTTCTCCATCCATGGGATTCTCCAGGCAAGAGTACCAGAGTGGGTTGCCATTTCCTTCTCCAGGGGATCTTCCCAACCCAGGGATCAAACCCAGGTTTCCGACATTGCAGGCAGATGCTTTATCCTCTGAGCCACCAGGGAAGCCCCTTAACACCCACCAGGAAGCAACTTAACACACACACAAAGCCTACAGACTCCAGGACTGAGTCACCTGAGGCCAAACAACTAACAGGGAAGGAGCACAGCC